CAACATCGTAACACGTTCCTAGGCCCGATTACTAACGTCGGAATACGTATCAGGACCTGATATCTACCATCAATGAAAGTATCACGGCCGGATTGCTAACGTTGAAGTTCGTCTCTCGGCCGGATGGCTCACGTTTAATTACGTTCCTCCGTATGATCGCTAACAATGAAATAATTTTCTCGGCATGATTGCTAACATTGTAGGTAATTCCTAGTCCTGATTGCTATCACCGTAAATGGTTTCTTGGCTTAATGGCTAACATCGAATATCGTCTCTCGGTTTGATGGCTAACATCGACGTACGTTCCTCGGCCTTAAACGCGTTGCGTGTAATTATAGAAAATCGTCAATTCAAGAGAATATATTGACAGAATGGATGTCGAAGAATTTGAATGGCCATGTGTAAGTGCCGAAACGCACCGAAAAATCGTCACACTTCGAGGTTGATAAATAATTCTAAATGATGCTTGGATATTGAAAAATTTCGCTCATTGTGATCCCTGCGGTCCGTAGGATAATTTAAGATCACCAGATCCATGAAATCTATTGATACGATGATTGAAGAATATTTTCAAGTAACAGTTGCGAGCCATAATACTTCTGTTTCTTCAAATGTCTTTAGATCGTCGTTACGTATTAACAAATTATTTTCATATTGATCCCCGCAAGGCGTGGAATAATATAGGCCAATCAGTTCGAGATTATTTATTTTTACGGAGGATGTCGAGAATTATCGAATATTATGTAAACAACGTTCCACGTACCGGATCACCGTAATACTTCTGGGTCGACAAAACAATTTTAGATTATCCTTATATTTCAAAAAACTTTGATAAATGACCTTAATTCGTCGTTGTGTATTAAAAAACTTCGTTCATGATGATCACCACGATACAGAGAATAATGTTAGAGCATCGTAAAGACATAATGTATTGTCAAAGTGAATGTCTAGAATTTTCAAAGTGGATATTTAAACTACTATCCACATACCTGAAACCCTTTAGTTTCAGGCTCGATAAATAATATTAGATCTTCCTTATATATTAAAAAGTTGTGTTCATTGTAATTCACTCGGTTTGAATAGTAGAAAGCCATAAGACTGAGATAATAAGTCGACACCATGAATATCGTGAATTTTAAAGGAACATATTTGTACCTCACTCCAAGTACCGAAACTCCGTAATATTTTAGGCTCGACGAATAATATTAGATTGTCCTTTATATTAGAATATTTTGAACATAATGATTCCTGCTACGCGTATAATAATATTAGACGATCGAAATTTTGTATTCATTAAGTGTATGTCGAATATTTTTAATACGTATATGCAAATCTAATTCCTCGTACCTGAAAACCGTAATATTTCAGAGACTATATATAATATTAGAATGTCGTTGTGCAATAAAATATTTTGTTCATAGTGAACCAGCGATGCTTAGAATAACAAAGGAGTGGAGGTCGGTATGATACATTGCCAGAATGGATATCGAATATTTTGAATGTTCACATGTAAATCCCGATCCGTACCAGATGAGAGTACCAGATCCGTACCAGGTTCAGCACTAATGTTTTATGTTAGAACGTCATTAAATATTAAACAAGTTGTGATCGTAATGATTTCCGCGACGCGTAGAATAATATAAGACAATCAAATCGGGGTTATATTGATACGATGAATATTGAGAATTTTCAAGAGGCATATTGGAAAATCATTCCCTTTACCGAAACGCCGTAACAATTTCAGTTCGATAAATGATGTTGGATCGTCGTTATATTATTAAAAGTTTTCTTGTGGTTCACAGCGTTGAGAAGAAAATGACCATCAGTTCGAGGTAATATGTCGATACGGAAGATGTCGAGAATTTTAGGTAGGCATATGTATACCTCATTTCACGTACCGGAACACTGTAATATTTCAGGCTCAACAAATAATATTAGATGATATTTGTGTAAAAAAGTTCATTGTGAACTCGGCGAGTCGTTGAATAACATAAGACTATAAAGTCGATATGAAGTGTTATACGTAAACTTCATTCCACGTTTAGAACACCATAACATTTCAGGCTAGGTAAATAATATTAGATGAGATTTTTGTACAAAAAAGTCGTTCCATTGTGAACCCCGCGATGCGTAAAGTATTATAAGACTATAAAACAGAAATGATATACTGACAGAATGAATGTCGAAAACTTTGAATTGTCATATGTAAACTTCATACCACGTAACACAACTTCGTAATATTTCAGATAAATAATATTAGATGATATTTATGTAAAACAAGATGTTGTTCATTGTGAACCCCGAGTTTCATAATATAGTATAAGATCTTGAACTCGTTATAATATCTTGACAGAATTAATTTGGAAAATTTGGAATGATCATATGTAAATCTCATTCCTCGTACTGTATATTTCAGACATGATACATAAAAACGACTTTATTACGAGAATTAATGTTTCCCTCGGGGATATTCCGCCCGAGGGGTGGTACAATAAACGCTTACAGAGCTACCACTAGGGCAAGCATAATACATTTTATTATTAAGAAATTGCAGAGCTGAATGTATTCTCGCGCAGCTCTACAATTTATGAGACGCGTACACACACTTATTTGCCCGAAGGCCACACTATACGCGGAATAAGAAAATTATAGTGCCGGTAGCATTACGCGTACTGTAATGTAATACATATCGACAAGCACTTACACTTACACGCGGCGAGTACACGCTGGTGGCGTATACCACAGAGAAATAACAAAAAACCTGGTGCGAATGAGCCAGCCTCTGAAAAAACTAAAAATAAAAAAAAACGAAGAAGATAGAAAATTTCAGGCCTTCGGTGGCGGGATGTGTAAAACGCGCCTAAGGTCGAATCGGCCCTGGTCATCGGCTTCGCGCGAACGCGGAGTATAGATGGATTCACTATGTAAAAAGCCCAGTGCTTTTAAGGGAGATGAACACATTTCAGCGAGGACAGTAATCGCACATTCTGCTCCATGAGAGTCCGGTAGCGGCCTTATCCGCTGCCAGAGGCTTCGCCATGGAGAAGAAAGAGATTCCGTTGCCGATGACGGTACGCCGGCAATGGATGGCGATGGCGGGTGTGCGTTTTCGGTGATGCGGCATGTGGATGCTTCTACAGTGATGCGGTACGTGGACGCCAGTCCCTGGTCCCCATGCTCGTCGCCAAAGATGGCGAAATCGCTCCTCCTGACGGACAGATAGATGGCCCGCTACCGAGTGATGATGAGCAGGACCACTCCGGGGGCGCTGGCCGATGCAAGGTGTCTGTCTCTACGTCTATATACCTGTGGTTGTAGTGCCGGTGGGTAAGGGTAGTGTTCAGGCTCGCGTCACCCTCCTCGTCGAGTGTGGCGGCTTCGCGTCGAGTGGTCCGTCCAAGAAGGGATTTCCAGAACCGGGAATTCTCCTCCTTCTGCCACACGGATGTAGGGTGTCTTCCTTGTCCTCGGGCTGAGTCGTCGCCGCCGTCGTGGGAATCCTGGGTCCGGAGGGGTCTGTGCCACCACACTCACTGCCATGGTGAGGGGGAAGCAGCTCGATCCCTGTTGGAACTCCTGGATTTTGAGAGCTTTCTCTTCATCTCAGATCCGTGGTTGGAGATCCAGTAGTCGTCAACCAGAGGGAGAGCCTCCGGAGAGTTGTCTACCTGGTCGTCGCCGCTCTTCGAGCTTGGGTCACGACGTCTTCCATGACGAAGCGGATGGTCCTTGGAAGGCGCCGTTTTCACTGCTGCACAATTACGCCAAGTGCCTTCAGGAGAGGCAATGCGTCCTTGGATCGTCCTCGCCTCCTCGGGGTCTTCGTGCGCGTTCTGGTGCTGTTGGAGGCTGCACTCACCACACTCGCGGTCGCCGTGTAGTACCGATTCCACTCGTGTACTATCTGGTAGCACGCGCAAATATAAAACGCAAGCAGGGCTTAGCAACGGAAAATCCATTCTCTACACATGCTAAAAAAAGGAAAAGATATAGAAACTCAACTGGTCCCCGTCAGAGGATCTAAGAATAAACATATATATCATCGTCTGTGTCATGGCGCAAGTAGCCTTGGCGACGTAACCGAAGTCATGAATAATAAAAAGAAAAGAAATATTTTGCGCTGGAAGACTTATTTAAAAAAAGAGTTGCAGT